CATCATGGACGAAAAGAAAAAGACGCATCGAAAGCAGCAGAGCAGCGGCAATTTTTACTTTGTCACCAAACTTCCTGGTCTTTCGGAGTCGGTTCGTGATGCCGGAGACGATGTGGCGGTGATTGAAACAAAGCGATCCGGAGCTAGCGAAGCGGAGTACGAACCCAAACCGGTCAACAGAAACCTGGTGAGTTTGATCAAAACAGAATGGATCCCAAGCGTATTCAACCGAATAGAGTCAAATGGAAAACAGAAGACAGGATGGAACTAGTGAAAAAGCGTTGTAATAGCAACTGATCGGCSTCGTCGACGAATGGATCGATGCGTTGTCATGCCCACAATTGACGCCAGCCCAATCCCAACAAGTAGTGTATCCTCAATCAATCGTTCTTTTTGTTGGTKGCAGGTCAAAGGAGTTTCGCTCATGAAAGAGAGCGAACGGATTGTTTCGAGCGCCCCTAGAATGAATCCTCTCTCYCGAACTCTCTTCGCCGTGTTTGGTGGAAGCAAGCCGCAATCATTCGACAAAGAGGGCGCCAAGAAGGTAGATCCCAAGGTCTATTTTTCCAACGAACGTACCTTTCTCAAATGGATGAATGTGTCTGTGTGGGTGGCGGGAATCAGCATAGGGCTCTCGTCGATTGTTGGCAGCTCGGTGAAGTACAACGCATGGCAGTCCTGGTTGAGTCTACTGTTTTTGGCGCTTGCAATTGTTGTTTCCTGCTATTCCATGTTCCAGTGTAAGTGCATAATGGCGAGGGAATCCTGACAATGGATGTACTTTGACCTGGCTTGCTTGAATCCTGCTGACGAATTTGTAAAAATCGCTTGTCTTCCTTTCTTAATAATTRATACGACAAATTCATACCTACCGCATGGAATAGATGCCAAACGCTCTCTCATGATCGTAAAACGATCACCGGGGCCGTTCGATGACAGATCAGGCCCGATTGTCATTGGCTCGTTGTTTATTTTGTCGTTTACGGCTCAATACTGCATCTTCATCGCATCATTGAGCACTGAGAAATGATCGGTGCGACGATGGGGATAGCGTACTAAGCATTATAGCAAAAACAACCGAATTAGGCAGCCGTGAGAATGGAAAACGCATCGCGTTATTCTTGCTGGATTCTATRTATGTTGCGACGATATAGATTWYGAGCTTSGTGACGATATYTTCACCGATARATGAACTGAAGGGAAAGCTTGGATAAAATACTACGTCTTGCAACAAAATCGAAAAGTCGATAGAATACCAGGGATTGAAATCGCAGAGCTAAAGGATCCCAAGGTGTAACGGAGCCGATAGATTCGAAGGGCTTCGWCCACAATTTTGTYACCCTCGCCATAGTGGTGTAAACACCTTTCGGCGGGAGTRTGGAATTAAAAAATATAATTTGCATACTATCTAATTTACAACAGGGGTAGTCAAACTATCCCYCATATGAAACRCCCACAGGTATCATCGGMATAAATCACGGTTTGAGGATATAATGTACCTGATGCKTCGGCCTTCCTTGCCCTTAAATGTTTCATCTCTTTKTGTTGACCACTACTTTGATTCAAGGTAGCAATATCATGGATATTCAGTCTCTCTGCCGTGAGGCTCTACTACTTTTCCCAATGGATAAACAACAATGTATGAGAAGTTGTTTAGAAATTTTCATTGGACCGTACGTGTTCATGTTAAACTTTTAATCGAATGTTTTCATAGTGTACCTGATGAGCGATTCGTTCCATATAAGCTAGAGGTCCTTCTTGAAATCCATCTTTGCAATGATCATATGAATCTCTAGTGAAACTGTACTATATATTTGCAATCGAACAAGTCACTGACAGCTATCTCAGCTTGGAGGTACTAATGCATTCTAGCAAAGCGAAGGAGCATTACACTTCAACTAGCACTAGAAAAGATGTGGGCATTGCTTGCATACTATTATCAGTGAGATAGTAGCAGTAAGAACAGTAGCAGCAGCAGTGTTGGAGAAATGGGAGGACACAAATGACCACCTGCTAACTGACTCAGAGTGCTGGGAGAACAGATATGTATGGCCCACTAATTAAGAATAATGTAATGGATTTCTGTTTTCCAAGATCCCCAATAGGAGACAAACATATCACCGTACTATCATCACCACCCACCAATCATGCCTACTTCACTAAGAGGAGGAGCTTTCATATGTTCGTACAACTCGTACTGGCAAAGTTGGTCGTTTGAGTCGTGGATACTTTCTACCCTCGGCATGAGAACAGAGAACAACATCAAAAGAAGAACGAAAACAGTAACTTTCGACATCAATCGCAAGACAATGGTTCACTACCTCCAACACTGCCCCACGATACACTCAAAGCACATAATTTTGGCTTCCGAGGCGGGCAGAGATGATTTTCAGGGAGCTCAACAGAGCCCACAGAGCCTTTCTCAGGCGTGCCCAAACGCACCCAAAGTCTCTGGCGATGGCGATCCTGGGCGGCTCGACCGTGGCGGGGGTGGTTCTCTTCCGGATCATCGAYGGTAACGACGGCGTGCGGGGCGTCGAAAATCTCCACGCACGAAAAATGTCTTTAGAGGAAGCAAGGCTGATTGCCATGGTAGAGAATGCYAGGGAAAGTTCCTGGCGAGAAAACATCGAAAACGCCGTGAATGCCCAGGAACAATTTATGTTGCCGGGAAGGCGGCAGCAAGGAAAGAATCTGAACTCACTTATGGAGAAAATCGATAAACGCAGCCAGGAAATTATTCGGGACCAACACCAAGAAATAGATCAATACCAAACAAAACGGAAGGCAGAGACCGAGGCGAAAGCGAAGGACAATATCAGCTATTGGAAATGAAGCAATCGGCACAGCGATGTTACAGAGAAGAGGAAACTCACTTTCTATCTCGTTTTTTGATACGCTACGAATCCTGTTGGGAGTGGCGACTCGAAAATTCACGTCATGCGGTAGTTGGCAGCAAAAATACTTTGATTGCTGGCAATCATTTTCCTCGCAGTAATGCCACTATGTTATTATTTGGGAATGATAGACGAGCGACAGAATATGGACTACGCTGCTACACCACAAAGGGACCGAACCATGAGTGAAGGAATCGTGGTAAAAAACTTGTGCTAGCTTGCAATCTCCTCGTCGTCGTATCTATTCGTTCACTAGAAAACATACCAGCGAAAACCCTGAGGATTTTGTAGCAAGGCCTTCAGCGTTTCGGGTTTTTCTTACTAAAGGAATTTATTCTCAAAGGACTGTAGACTGCTGTTTTTGCTCTTTTGAATACTAATCGGTTTGCTTTTGTTTCTTGGCGTTAGCTTCTGTTCCCGCGCCGGTGTCGGTGTCGCTCTCGCTCCTTTCTCGTTTTTGCTCTTGCTGTTGTTCGCTCGGATCCGAGTCCCCCAGGGGTTTCTCTTGTCCCTTTTGCAGGTCTATCCGGGGCAACGTGCACGCAGCGGTCGGGATCAGAAAGCTCAGGCAGTACATGTTTTTGTTGGGCGCAATGTCCCTCACGGTGTGGATCACCACCGCGTCGTCGGTCTCGTGCAGCGGACACCCCAGGGCGGTTTCGGCGCGCTTCCATATCTCGCTCCTGGAGGCCTGTGGGTCCTTGGGGGCGAAGCAGTGGACGTGGATTCGGGGCCTGCTCCCGTCRCTRTCGCTGGGGTATCCACGAAAGCAATCCAGCAATTCGAGGGCACTGGCCGGAAGATTCATGAGAAAATGGTCCGGGCGTATGCCCTTGTCCTGCAAACGATGGCAATAGGCCCTGCCATCCATGTTGGAAACGTGTAGGTTGTGTTTTTGGCCGCCGCCGGAATCAAAGTTCTTGTCGCTTTCAAAGTCGCACTTGTTTCGTTTGGCGTTTGCCACCAGAAACTCGTACGAGGAAGGATTCAGGTCGTTCGCATAGACCTCGATGGGCATGGGGGGCAACCTGCCGCCCCCGTCGCCATTGTTGTTGCCTTTCTGTTTCTTTTTGTTGTTTTGTCGTTTGCCATTGTTTTTGCCGTTGCGAAGGAGGTTCTTGGCGGTGAGAGGAATGGCAAAGGGTCCGATCCCCGCCATCAAATCTGCCACCACAAGCGTCGACGTTCTTGTCGATGTGTGTTGCGGTTGTGCTCTAGCCGCGGCATCTYTCTTGATGAGCTGGACCAACCGTCGGTGCTCTCCCCCGAGCCTCGAGTTCCAGTAGACCTTTCGAAAATCCAGTTGGTACTCGCATCCTTCTTCCTTGACCAGCACATCGCTCCAGCTGCCGCTGCCATCTCCGTCTTTCTCGTGATCCTTTCCGGCGATGACTTCCATGCCAAAGGTCCGGTACTCGCTGTCGCCGATCGATCCGACCTTGTTGCAGACGGTCTGGATCCGGGGGGAGTTCTTTTCCAGAAGTACCTTTCCGATCAGCAACTTGTAGGGGAGGACCTCCCCCCGCAGGTTGACGTGGGCCAGGTGCCCGACCGCCTCGAAGGACGACGGGACCTCGGCAATGCCCGTTGGAACCAGCAGGCGCTTGAGGATTTCCTCGGCCGTCCAGTGGTCGTAGGAAAGGGTGATGGTGTGCCTTCCCAGCCGGAAGGATTCGGGTTCGTCGTCGAGGAGGGACCGCAGGAGATGGTTCATTTCGTGTTGGYGGTTCTCGCTGGGTGTTGCAGGATCTTGCTGTTGTTGTTGTTTCGATGGCGGATGGAGCCCAGCCCTTTGCGGATGCAGGACGAGTTTTCGGTACCCCCTCATGTTTTCTWTCGTCAGGACGAGAGATGGACCCGGCGGATCCTTGCCGGCTTGGTCCCCCGGGGAGTCCAAGTCGCTTTCGGACACCTCCACCACGACCGACAATCGCGGCCGGGACAGCAGGATGGATTTCAATTGGTTTCGCACCTGGTTGGTTCGTTTCGCGGGGAGGATCAGGGCCGGGAAGTCGTTCGAGACCTCAAAGGCCGAGCGGGGCGGGAAGGCGGTGACGGGATAGACGTATCCGTCGTCGTCGCTGGGCGGGTCCGGGAGCAGGCTCTGGGAGGCTTCCCCGTCGTGAAAGATGGCGAGRGAGTCGTCCGCTTCGGTGGAGGCTTGCRCTTTTGATTTCGATTTAGGCATGGTGGATGTATGGATGTGTGAATTGATGGACGGAATGMAATGCACAATTTTGCTGCAGGCGAATGAACAGAGTCGATTCTTCCGATCCTTCAGGGTTCTATCGGTTATAGACAGGTTGCCTCTTTCTGTTCCTTCAGCTTGGTTGTGGCTCAACACAACTCGAGTTTTTTTTCTCCGGTTTTGAATTTGTGTTGCAGGGATCAAAATCGTATTTACTTACTACGGACAGACGGAATATATTCAGTCGTGCTCACGAAGCAAGTATTGCACAACTACGAGTACTACGTGCGTCCTGTGGTGTAGCCTAGCGTAGAGCTGKCGTAGAGCACCGTAGAAAGTGTTGAGCAATGTACGTACGAACATGCCTGCGAACATGCTCGTACTGTTGACACTTCGAGAGCATTCGGATCTTTCTTTTCTCAATCTTCATTCGAGAACCGAGGCTGTGCCAACTTCTCCTGGACACGACAACATGAATACGTACCAGTACGGGTACGAGTACTCGTACTCGGAACCAAGCTTAAACTACTGGTTTCACCGCGAAACAGAATCATGAATCGTTGTCATCATTTAGAAATGAACATCGCAATGCYGTGAGTCATTACATTGCGATTCTGCCGACAACCATAAATGTTTCCATTGCATTTTGATGAGTGAACAGTGAACAACYATGCRTGAAACAAAAGATCTTCCCGACGGAGGGAAGAAGGACAAAACGGCCAGAGAGAAGACGACCGCAACGATTCATGCCAGTGTTGGTTATTTTCGTTGGCTCCTGTCTCTTGCGCTGGCCTGGAACCTCGCCGTATCGGGAGGGGACTTGGGAGTTGTTTCTGCTGCCACCAATGCCGCTTCTTCCTTCTCTCCGCGTCCGCAAATCACGGCATCGACGTATAAACGGGGATTGCCAACGGCAGCGAAAACCGAGACGGATGCGACTCGCTCCACGATGGGATCGCCCGAATCGATCAAGCTGCGCCCCCGYGTTGTCTCGCTRAACATAATGGTTGCTGGATTGGCCGGGCTGGGGAAAACAACGACGGTGCGGGCTCTCTTGGATGCCTGGTCTTTCCGGGAGCTCAACGAGAAACTCCGAAAGGCAAGCGGCCCGTCCGAGGCAGGCAGCAACAGCAGCGACAACGGCGGCAGCGATGCGGGCGCCAAGAGAAACAGCCGGAGGGGATTGTTCTCGTTTTCGGCCCCGTCCCCAAAGGAAGCCTCGCAGTCGGCCGCCGCTTCGGATGCGGGACCACCTGCCACGCAACCGAATCCCATTGCTGCCTTGTTTGGAAGCACCACGGAAATTGTCCCTTCGGAACCCTTTGAATACTTCGACGAGGAAGCCAACACGATCCTCAGGGTCCGGATCATCGACACACCGGGGTTCGGAAACCGCGTCAACCACAAGAACTCCGTCCAGCCCATCACGGACTACATCACGAGGTGCCGCACCGCCCGCTTCCGACGCGAGCAGTCGCCGTCCCGCTCCGCACCACCGTCCGCGGAAGACGGGGGCGACGACCACCCGGACGAGGAGGAACTGGTCCACGTCTGCCTGTACTTTCTGAGCCCCGGGAGGTTCCTGGCCATCGACCGGCACTTTTTGAAGCACGTCCAGAACGAGATCACGATTGTTCCGGTCATCGCCAAGGCCGACACCATGACCGATGCCGAGATCGCCCGCTACCGGGCGGAGCTGAACCAGGTCTGGAAGGACGAATCCATCGAGGTGTACTCTCTGGACAACGACTACCAGCCCAGGAAACCAAGCCAGCGGAGCAGCGCCCGCAAGCCCGGGTACAAATTCCGCCGCGGCCGGCGGTCGGGGGAGGTCCTGGCCATCGTGTCGCGGGACGGCATCTACCCGTGGGGGCATTCCCGGGCCCTGAATCCGGAGCACTCCGACCTGGTGCTGATCCGGGATTCCCTCCTGAGCGAGCACACGGAACGCTTCCTGGAACTGGCCAACCAGAAATACGGAGCCTACCGAAACCAGCGGCTCGTGGCGCAGCACCGGTCCGACAGGCTCAAGTACCTGGCTCTGCTGGGACTCGCGGGGGTCCAGCTGGGAAAGGTGGAGGTTGCGGGGACCACGCTCCAAGAGGCGGTTGCAAAATGGGCCGAGGTGGCCGTCCGGACCCCCCTGGTCCAAACCGCCCTGGCGTTCCTCCGGAAACTGGTTCAAAACAAGMGCTGAGAGGGGAGAGGAGTGGAGTGGAAAACCCAGCGATTCGAACGGCTGGTTGGTCGATTAGTCTGTCTTACCCGGAAACGATGTGGCAACAAGCCAGGGTGCGAATTATTAGGAGGACAAGCATCATTGTGCAAAGTGTTCGGGAAGGAGCCATCCGAATAGAGTGCCGCATCCCGGGGCTAGTTACATTTTTGTCTCCCCTCCCTCGGTGCTCCGGAACAAAGCACGGCGGAAAAAGTGAGTCAGACGACAGAAACGATGGTTCTTGTTTGCACAATCCTCTCTCTCCGATACAATTGCAACCACAATGCGATGAACAAGCTGATGCACGTTCCATTTACGATTGTTGGTGGGCAACATAGCCGGATTTTTCAATTTACACCAAGAAATCTACTACGGCGAGAGAGATAGTTATTGTTAATGGCATTAGGGACTTTACTACCGTACTATATCGTCGCACTATGGACAGAACTTTTTACCGACCGGCCAGCAGTGTCTTCGCCTTGGCGGCATCCGCCACCTTCCACTGCTTGCTCGCCTTTCCCTTTTCGTATTGTTGCAGAAAGGCGGGAACTTCTTGACCCGCGTCTTTCGCAATTTTTACCAGCGCCGGGGAACACGGCTTGTCGTAATCGGGGTTCCAGAAGGTGACGGCCTCCCCCATCTCCCCCGCGCGGCCCGTTCGTCCGATGCGGTGGATGTACGAGTCGCAGTCCCGCGCCATGTCGAAGTTGACGACGTGCGTCACGCCCTTGATGTCGAGGCCCCTCGCCGCGACATCGGTGGCCACCAGTATGGTGCATTCCTTGGAGACGAATTTCCGCAGGGAAGCGTCTCGTTCGTGCTGGGCCTTGTCTCCGTGGACGGCGCAGGTCGAAAAGCCTTCCTGCCAGAACAGCTTGGCGACGTAGTCGACCCGGCGTTTCGTGTTGGCAAAAATTACTACGGAGGCCTTTTCCAGGTCCAGCGAACAGAGCAGATCGTACAGTTTCCGGTCCTTGACGTCGTCCTGGGCTTCGACGAATGTCTGCTTGATGGATTTGTTGGCAACCAACTCACCGTCGGCCGTTCCCTCGCCGAGGAATATTTCCATCGTCTCGTCCTTGTCCCGTAGGAATTTAGCGGCAACCTTTCGGACGGCCTTGGGCCACGTGGCCGTGAAAAAGAGGGTCTGCCGTTCCGATATGGGTGGCAGGGCCGCTGTGATTTGCTTGAGCTGCGGTTCGAATCCCATGTCCAGCATCCGATCGGCTTCGTCCAGGACTACGAAATGACACGACTTTAGGCTCAGACACGAGGGCTTCCGGTCGAGGAGGTCGCAGAGACGGCCGGGCGTGGCGATAATGATCTGGGGCGAGAGCTTGCGCAGCTCCTGGATCTGTTCGCTGGCGCTGGTACCACCGTACAAACAGGCCGAGGATATCCCGATCGAAGACCCGAACTTGACGCACTCCTTGTGTATCTGCATGGCCAGTTCGCGGGTTGGTGATACAACGAGCCCGACCGGTGATGGCGTGTGACTGCGACCAAAGATTACTTCGGCTTCTGCTCCCTTGGGAAGGTCCCTCGTGGATATTCGGTGAAAAATCGGCAACAAAAACCCGAGTGTTTTTCCAGACCCTGTCTTGGCTACTGCAACGAYGTCCTTTCCGGAAATSGCCACCGGCCAAGCCTTTGCTTGAACCGGACTCGGATTTTGGAATCCAGCGGCCGAGAGCGCGGATTTGATGGGCTTATCGAACGGAGTTTCCTCAAACGTGTCCCAGCTAGTAATGGCAGTGATTGATTCCTGGTCAACACTCCCGGTAGCATTGGTGGCAACATCGCTTGACCCATTGCGTTTTTCGGCATCGGACTTTTCCTTCTTTTTCTTCTTCTTTTCCGACTTTTTATCTTTCTTCTTGTCAGACTTTTTATCTCTCTTCTTTTCGTTTTCGTCGTCGAGCTTCTTCTTGGCCTCTTTTTTTGCTTTTTTCTTTGCCCTTCTTGCATCCCGCTCTTCTTCTGTTTCGTTCGGTCGTTTTCCCATTTTGTATCAAGCTTACGTAGTTCCAACTCGGCTATCGGCTTGTAATTTCGATGTTCAATATATTGTACTTTGGCTGAYGAATAGATTTGGAAAACCCCAATGCGAGAAAAGCAGGAGTGGATTCTCGTTGTGAGCAGACAGGAAGAAAAAAGAAAAACTTACTGTATTAGTCATTGATCCTGTCGTGTCGTCGGTACGAGCGACTASGTAAATTTACGTACGGGACAGKTACGGGTACGTAACAGTAGTACTTTCGACGGTACTGTATGAATGGAAACGAATCCGACAAAAATGAGAAAAAATATTTCACAAGATTTCAGATTTTTTCAATAATTTTTTCAAACGTGCGAAATTGGGTGGCTATGATGGACTCACTAAATTAAAAGTGCCTAGTTTTGTTGTGCCTGTCATCGCATGACATCACGCGACGACCCACCRTCGACACGAAAGAGACACTACAACTGTTCAACATCACTACGGGCAACAATCATCACCTAGTTGGGTACCGTATCGACGCCACCTTCTAAAAATAAGCAAGCTACCGGAGGAAAGGTTGAAGCATTGCGCCAGGATAACCAAACCCGAAAGTTACAGAAACCGAGGAGCACACGAGCGATCCAAACCACCTTAACACTCCAAATTCTAAACAACACGAGAAACTCTTTGGGAAACGCCACCCCAACAACAACAATGAGCAGCACCAACAGCGAGGACGAGGATCGCCTMAATTATTTGAAAGATCGCGGCGTAGAAATATCTACGCCGGAAGAGAGAGAGGCATCGCGCAGGGCCAATGAATCGAGCGTTGCGCCGATACTGCAACAGCTTTACGGCCTGAGTCTCGGAACCGATGGCGGCGACGGAGAGGGCGTCAAGTTTGTCTGGATCCCCGCCGACGAAAGCAAAGCCATGAAAACCATGGTGGTCCCTCCTTCGTTTATCGAAGCAAATAGGGGCGACGTCATGCCAAACTTTGTCAAGCCGTTTTTTGCCGCCGACAAGACAAGGGTCGACGCCGGCCTGCTCCAAAAACAGGCCACGAAACAGTTCACGGCCGGTGGGGAAGGAAGCAGCATCAAGGGCAAGGACGGCAAACCGGTCGATATCGACATGTCGAAGATTTCTCCAGCCGCCCTGAACGCGGTTGCCGCGCAGGGAAGCGTCGAAACGTTTTGCTTGGTGCACCCCGCCGACACCAACGACTACACCGGGGTGTACATCTACCTCGACGAGGTGGGAATGCTGAAAAAGCTGCCCTCCAACAAGCGCGCCTCGAGCATCGGTGGGGCCTGCGGGTACAATCCGGCACCGATTTTTTACGGCGACGTCTTCGTCGCCCGCGTCAAAACGAAACCGAGCATGTTCAACGTTGACTTCGAGGCCGGCGTCGATACCGATTACGGAAGGGCCGAATGGATGAGACGTGCCGTATCGGAAAACCTGGCCTGGCAGCAAGCCATGAACGAAGCGACGGGGAAATCCCCAAAGCTTGCCCAGATGGAACAACCCGCCCACGCTGGGACGGACGGATCCGTCGCGCAGGAATCCGGTTTTAGCTGGACACAGGACGGCGACGAGGTGGAGATCACCGTGCCGATGAATGCAGCCGTGAACAAGAAGGAGGTCAAGGTCGTCTTCCGCCCAGGCTTTGTTGTCGTTTCGTACCAGGGCAAAGAGGTGGAGAGAATCGATCTATACGAAAGCGTAGACGTCGATGGATGTACGTGGACACTGAGCAGCGACAAGACAAAACTCATTGTCACCTGCGAAAAGGCCGATCCCGATAAAATATGGCCCAGAATTCGATCCTAGTTTCAAAGAAGAAACGCAAGCAGCAGAGAGAATGCTCGCTTGAAGGAACGAATGCATAATAATTAATAAGTACTACTACAGAATAGAATTCTCATTCAGCTCTCAACGCAACATGTACCTAATAGAAGAAGTTGTGGTGAAATGTGGAACAGGAACTTTTCTTCTCTACAGAGGGCATGGGTTACAGGAGCATCAATCGGCGAATAACTGGATGGGTCATCTCCTATTGTATCATATTGTTTATGGCACTGTCATTTTTCTTTCCGAGAGAAGCATTGAAAAACACCGTCCGCATTTTCTCCAATATATTTGTCGTCGTCTTTGTTGTTGTTGTTGTTGTTGTTGTTGTTTTTGTTGTTGTTGTTGTTGTTGTTGTTGTTGTTGTTGTTGTTGTTGTTGTTGTTGTTGTTGTTGTT